TGTAGTCCCAGCTACTCTGGAACCTGAGTCTCGCTCTGTCACCCAGGCTGGAGTGCAGTGTCACGATCTCAGCTCACTGCAATTCCCTCCTCCTGGGTTCAAGCGATTCTCCTGCCTCAGCTTCCCGAGTAACTGGGATTACAGACACCCACCACCATGCCCAGCTAATTTTTGTATCTTTGGTAGAGACGGGGTTTCACTATATTGGCCCGGCTGGTCTCAAACTCCTGACCTCGTGACCCACCCGCCTTGGCCTCCCAAACTGTTGGGATTACAGGCGTGAGCCACCGTGCCTGGCCTCCTGCTAAGTTCTTATGTGTGAATAAGTGTAAGAAAATGATTGCTTATTATTGAGCTGGGCATCGTGGCTCATGCCAGGAATCCCTGCGTTTTTGGAGCCCAGAGTAGGAGGATTGAGTCCAAGAGTTGGAGACCAGCCTGGGCAACACAGTGAGATCCCATCACTTAAAAAAACAAAACAAAACGATTGCTTACTTGTAGCATATAAATTTAGTCAGGAGTGATGGGAGTGGCAGACAACCACAGATTGTCCACATGGGTGGCTAAAAGGTGACACCTTTGCTTTCTAAGAGTTCAGTGTACACAAACTTTGTTTTGTGCACAACATTTTAGAAATCCTGTGTAAAATACCTCCAGGCTATGTGTATAAGGTGTATATGAACCATAAATGAACTTTGTGTTTGGACTTGGGTTCCATTTCCAGGAACTCCCATTATGTATTTGCAAATATTCCAAGTTCTGAAAGGCCCCAAAATCTGAAACACATCTGGTCCCAAGCATTTCAGATAAGGGATGCTCAACCTATCCAAGCTGAAAGTTCTTAGAACACACAGGTGGGTTTAAGAAGTCGTGTTTGAGCTGAGTCCATCAGCCCTTCCACGGCAGTCACTGACTTTCAGGGACCAGACCTTATTGTTGGTTGTCTTTTCTTTTCTTGTCTTGTCTTTTCCTTTACTTTCTTTTTTCTTTTCTTTTCTTTTCTCTTCTCTTTTCTTTTCTTTTTTCTCTTCTCTTTTCTTTTGAGACAGGGTCTCGCTCTGTCACCCAGGCTGGAGTGCAGTGGCACGATCTTGGCTCACTACAGCCTCTGCCTCCCGGGTTCAAGCGATTCTTGCACCTCAGCCTCCCAAGGAGCTGGGATGACAAGTGTGCATGACCGCACATGGCTAATTTTTGTGGGACCAGACCTTATTGTTTTAGTTTTGCCACCATTGTGTGAGTCCCTAAGTAATATAATGTGGTCTTGCCCGTTTCTGAACTTTATAGAAATAGGATCCGGCCGGGCGCGGTGGCTCAAGCCTGTAATCCCAGCACTTTGGGAGGCCGAGACGGGCGAATTACGAGGTCAGGAGATCAAGACCATCCTGGCTAACACGGTGAAACCCCGTCTCTACTAAAAATACAAAAAACGAGCCGGGCAAGGTGGCGGGCGCCTGTAGTCCCAGCTACTCGGGAGGCTGAGGCAGGAGAATGGCGTGAACCCGGGAGGCGGAGCTTGCAGTGAGCCGAGATCCGGCCACTGCACTCCAGCCTGGGTGACAGAGCGAGACTCTGTCTCAAAAAAAAAAAAAAAAAAAAAAAGGATCATATTGCTGTATTCTGTGTTTTACCACTTTGTCCAGTAGGGCGTTGTCAGGATTCCTCTGGTGGCTGTGTTAGTGCCCGTCTGCTCACTTCCATTGCTGTGTCCTGCCCCATGGTTTGGAAGCCAGCGACCCATTAGCCCCTATCCTAGTGTGGTGTGTTATCCCGGCCCGCGGGATCGTCGAAGCAGGCCCTGGAGGAGGGAGTGGGAATTTGGGGAACAAGAGACACGAGAAATGGAGACAAGACAGTGCTCTGATCAAGTCTCGTTTAATGGCAGTAATGCAGTGCCTTATATACCCTTGGAGAGGAAGGGGTTGGGCCAAGGCGGAAATGATCTCATTTCAGAGGGCGCGGCCAGGCAGGTTTCGGTTTCAACGGTCGGTCGTCATGTTGCGCCTGCGCTAGGAAGTAACAATTTTGCTAGGAAGTAACAATTTTCGCGCGCGCGGGAAAGATGGGTGAAGAAGAAGCAGGAAGCGTGCCATCTTGTGCAAGGTATTTAATACAGGGAAAAAGACAAATCTGGGAAGGAGGTGAGAGGTGGAAATGAATAGAGCTCAGGCGTTTAATCGTCAATAATTACTTGCTATGGCCGGGGCGCGCAGCTCCGGACAGTGTGTGCTCAGGCTCTTGGCAGTTTGCTGTCATAAACAGGCTGCCCTGCGTATGTCAGAGCTCCTCTGGTGCAGGAACATTACCTGAGATGGACTTGTTGGGTCTTAGGTGTATGTATCCTCTGCCTTTTAGATGAAGGTGAGGTGTTTTCCAGTGTCCCCATGCCAGCTTCTCCAGCAGCCTCCAAGCATTCCACCTGTTGCAGTGTCCTTACTCTCATGTGGTTTTGCACCGGACTCCTGCACCTATTCCCGTCGGGCCATCATCCTGTGTCTCTCTGGTCAACGGGGAAGCCCGGTGGCGTTGCATGGGTGTTCGCAGTTGGGATTTTTGTTCACATGTTTTATCTTTCTGTTGATGAGTCTTGTTCTCATCAACTTGTTGGAATTCCCTGCACCCTTTGTTGTGTCCACCACAGTGGCTCTCCTTCCAGCTCTCTTCATACTGTTTGGATTAACAGAAATTCTGAACTTCATTGAACTTCAGAGTGGTCCTCTCCCCTCCCCTCCTCCTCCCCTTCCCGCCTCCCTTCCCCTCCTCCCTTCTCCCCTCCTCCCCTCCTCCTCTCCCCTTTTCCCCTCCCCTCCACTCCCCTCCCCTTCTCCCCTCCCCTTCTTCCCTCCCCTTCTCCCCTCCCCTCCCGTTTTGACAGGATCTCGCTCTGTGGCCCAGGCTAGAGCGTGGTGGCGCGATCTCAGCTCACTGCAACCTCTGCCTCCTGGGCTCAAGTGATTCTCATGCCTCGGCCTCCTGAGTAGCTGGGACTATAGGCGTGCACTACTACCCCTAGCTAATTTTTTTGGTTTTGTTGTTGTTGTTGTTTGTTTTTGAGATGGAGTCTCGCTCTGTCGCCCAGGCTGGAGTGCAGTGGTGCAATCTCAGCACACTTCAAGCTCCGCCTCCCGGGTTCACGCCATTCTCCTGCCTCAGCCTCCCGAGTAGCTGGGACTACAGGCGCCTGCCATCATGCCCGGTAATTTTTTTGTATTATTAGTAGAGACGGGGTTTCACCGTGTTAGCCAGGATGGTCTTGATCTCCTGACATCGTGATCCGTCCGCCTCCGCCTCCCAAAGTGCTGGGATTACAGGCGTGAGCCACTGCACCTGACCAATTTTTGTATTTTTTAGTACAGAACGGGTTAGTACAGAAGGGGTTTGTCCATGTTGTCCAGGCTGGTCTCCAACTCCTGGACTCAAGTGATCCACCCACCTTGGCCTCCCAAAATGCTGGGTTTACAGCCATGAGCCACCGTGCCCAGCCCCTTACATCTTTTCTTATTGCCTTCTATACTTCCCAGTTCTGAGGCTATGAAGATCCTTCTACAGCATCTTCTAAAAGCAGTATTGTGTGTCTCGTGGTTAGATCTGGAATCTGTCTTTTCTGAGCTTCTGTGGCACACGTCTGTTTCATCCTCCTAACCCAGGACTGGAGTTGCCCCAGACGTGACAGGGGAGTTCCCATAAGGAAGTATCCCAAACCCTCAGAGAAAGGACCAGTTGGGATCCCAAAGAAGCACTAAATGCCAACTCAGAGCATTAATTAGGGGAACATTGGCATAGAGAGCTGCAGCTGGCCTGGAAACCAACAGTGAGGGACAAGGTGTTCTACCCGGGTGCCTCGAAACCAACAGTGAGGGACAAGGTGTTCTACCCGGGTGCCTCAGAACCGACAGTGAGGGACAAGGTGTCCTACCCGGGTGCCTTGAAACCGACAGTGAGAGACAAGGTGTTCTACCCGGGTGCCTCAAAACCGACAGTGAGGGACAAGGTGTTCTACCCGGGTGCCTCGAAACCGACAGTGAGAGACAAGGTGTTCTACCCGGGTGCCTCGAAACCGACAGTGAGGGACAAGGTGTTCTACCCGGGTGCCTCAAAACCGACAGTGAGGGACAACGTGTTCTACCCGGGTGCCTCGAAACCGACAGAGACAACGTGTTCTAACCGGGTGCCTCGAAACCGACAGTGAGAGACAACGTGTTCTACCCGGGTGTGCCCTCACTGAGGGGCCAGGGTATGGGGCTTATGTGCAGGTTTAAGGCATTGAGTTCCAGGCATGAAGAGGCTGCATCTAGATCTGCCATTTGCTGATCCACAGTCCCTGGGGCCTCAAGTTCCTCATCTGTGACATTGGGGTTGTGGTGACCCTTCTCTCCGAGGACTGTCGTGTGGGACAGCAGTCCTGTCCTGTGCAGTGGACCTCAGAGGGCACCTGCACTGTTCCCAGCATCCTTCATTGTTATAGTCTCTCAGCCACTCTTTGATATCCACTTTTTATCCCCATTTAAATGTCAGGAAATGAAGGCCCTGTTGCTGGTTCTCAAGGGGATTCCCAGACCAGCAGCATTAGCTCAGCTTGGAACATGTGAGAAATGCACACCTGAGCCCCCCAAGACCTGCTGAGTCAGCGCCTGAAGGGGGAGCAGGAGAGGACCCTGCCCCCAGTGCTTAATCTGCCTTCCAGTGATTCTGACGCTGTAGCACTTGAGAAACACTGAAGGAACTTCCCTGGCGTTGGAACCTGGGTGTACCCGACTCAGGCCCATTCTTCTACAACCGCCCTAAACTGCCAGCCACTTAGCTTTTGAATTAGGTAGAATGATGTTATTTGAGGAAAGTAAATTATTTGTCTCCTGAAGAAAAGTGGGCATGCTTTGCTTATGCTCCCTCTTTTTCCTACACGGGGACCACGGGGAGGCCAGACCCCTGGTGATGTGGATATGGGACCCTGAGGTCCTCATCTCAGTGGTAGACTGAGCTGTCCTGTTTGTTTCTTGCAGCTGCTCAGATGGAAGATAAAAAGCCCTTTATCCTCTCTTCCATGAGGCTTCCTCTCCTGGACACCAACAGCAAGGTAAACCGCATGGGCCAGCCCAGGCTGCCCCACCACACCACAGGCAGCTGCAGGGTGTGGCCAGGCCGTGCTGTGAGGTCACCCACCGACCAGGCGGCCACCACCCTCGACTGGACTGAGCTTGGGAACAAAGGACAACAGTGTGCCGTTCAGTGTGTGGCTGGTGCTTTTCCCACACCTCACTCAGGAAACCCCCAAGACCACCCCACAATCGCACCGGTTACAGGCCCACGGGTCCCCAGCCCCTCCTTCAGGCTCAGTGATTCTCTAGAAGGACCCAGAGCTCATGGTGCTGCTGTGCTCATGGTGATTGCAGTGAAAGGATGCAGGTCCACGTCCAGATGGTTGGGGTGCCTGGGACAGAATCCAGGAGGGCCCACACACAGAGCTCCCAGCCATCCTCCCCTGGGGTCGCGGACGGCGTTAGACCCCCGCCCCTCCTCACAGCAGCAGTGTGAGTCAGCGCACACAGAGCATCAGAACTAGGGAAGCTCCTGCCTTGGGGTGTGTCATGTGGACCCGGTTGGTGCCCTTCATGGCTGAGCTGTCTCCAGCCCCTCTGGAGGTGGAGCTGATGCCACGTGGCCCATAGCCCCCACCTGTCACATGAGACCATCTGGTATGGCCCAAGACCCCAGGTGGACAAGAACATTCTTACCAGGCCAGGTATTTGGGGCTTAGTGATGACCTCCCAGTACCCCAGGGCAGAGGCCAGCCTGTCTTTGGGTGGGTGGATCTTTGCGAAAGTTAGGACTGCACTCAGGTTACCCAGGGGCTGCTGGCTTGGGTAGGACCTGCTTGCTACAAGGGGAGCAGAGACCCCCCAGCCCTCTGGGGGCTGCTCTAGCCTTTGTGCTGGGCCTCCTCTTGGGGTCCTTCTGTGAGACTCTTGTTGTGTTTCCCCAGAAGCTACTGAAATGGACCCCATGCCACATCTGTTGCGGTGCCCCTTACATGTCCCACACACTCCCCAACGTTCAGAGCTCTTCCCAACATGCCCCTGGCAGGGTTTTTTGGTCCTTTTGGACGCCTGCAATGCCAGGTGGTTAAACACACACAGTCTGGGCAGTCTGGGACCAACCGGCTCGCTCCTCCACACCCACCCTGTTCCCTGAGATAGCACAAGGAGGAAGTGCTTGGAGAAGCCTCCTCGGGGTGGGGACACTGGACCTGACAGCTGAAGGGGGCAAAGGCATGGTCACGATGCTGGAGAAAAGGATCCCCAGGGAGGCAGCACAGGCAGAAGCCATGGCTCAGGGGAATGGCTGGTTTGGCCACCTTGGCCTGGCTGTGCCTTCGAGTCACCAGGCATAGTTACTGGGTGAGGCTGGACATGCAGGCTCAACCCTAGGATTGTTTGGGTGATAACTGCAGCTTCAGGGACTAGATTTATGGTGCACACAGGAAACATGGGGATCACACGAGAGAAGCTAGCTCGGAAGGACATCAGCCCCATCCCCTGAGGCCAGGGTGAGCCCCGGAGGGAGGGACGGGTGTATCTGGAGCCTGGAAAGGGCAGCCGCCGATGCACAGGAGGCGGGGGTTGGGGGCAGGGTGGCTTTGGGAGGAGCCCTCAGCAGAGGCGCCCTCAGAGTTGGGGTGCAGCTTGATGGAAGTGGATAGAGGAGGGAAAGTGAGAGAGATGCTCCCCTCTGGCAGCAGGGGAGGGAGGCAAGGGGAACTGGAGGAAAGAATCCTTCCCTGTGGACCTGAGCACATCCACAAGCTGTGGGAAGGCTGCCTTCCAGGGGCGAATGGGCCTCCACACAGCCTAGGGACAGAGAAAAGGGCAGACACAGGCGCAGGTGGGTACAGGTCCGTCCAGCTACAGGTGTGGGTGCAGACCCAGGTAGGCAGGTAGAGATACGGGTGTGAGTGCAGGCTCAGGTGTGGATGTAGGTAAGTATGGGTGTGGGTGTGGGAGCAGGCATAGTTGTAGATGTGGGTGCAGGTATGGATGCAGGCACAGGTGCCAATGCGTGTGCAGGCATAGGTGTGGGTATAGTGTGGGTGTTGGCACAGGTATGTGGGTACAGGCCCAGGTGTGGATACAGGTAGGTACAGATGTGAGTACAGGTGCAGGCCCAGATGTGGGTGCAGGTAGATCCAGGTACAGATGTGGGGGTAGGTCCAGGTCCAGGTGTCAGTGTAGCTGCAGGTGCAGGCACATGCGTGGGTGTGGGTGGGAGGAAGAGTGAGGTTCCTCTCTTTTGGCTGGACTGGCATGGCAGTCTCTGCCTCCCCTTCCTGATCTCCCATTTGTTCTGGGCAGGTGAAGCGGGCAGTGGTGCAGGTGATCAGTGCCATGGCCCACCACGGCTACCTGGAGCAGCCTGGAGGTGAGGTGATGATTGAGTACATCGTGCAGCAGTGCGCGCTGCCCCCCGAGCAGGAGGTAAGAGGCTGCCACCTTGCCTGCCTCCTAGGCCCACGCTGCCCCTGACCTGTGTTAGGCACTCTCGTCAGGAGCCTCTGGCCCGGCAGAGGGTGGATGCGTGGGCTGCAGTCTGCGTGCGGAGGTGCCCTCTGCTGTCTTTTGTTTGTTAATAGAGACAGGGTCTTGCTCTGTGGTCCAGGCTGGAGTGCAGTGGCTATTCTCAGGTGTGATCATAGCACGCTGCAGTCTGGAACTCCTGGGATCAAGCGACCCTCCCGCCTCAGCCCCATGAGACTGCAGGCACACGCCACTGTGCCCGGCTCCCTGTGGTTTCTGAGTCAGAGCCTCTGCACTGAGCCAGTCCTCTCAGCAGCTCCCAGGACTCAGAATGCAGAAGCAGGAAATAGAGTCTGTCCTGTTTGGGGCTTTTCTATTTAAGAAGTTACTGTACAAATACCAGTTTCTTCTTGAAGGAGAGCACGTGGCGAAATAACCCACAGATGGTCTAGACAGCCTCTGTCACCCTGAACTGCTGCCCGCTGGCTGCTGAGCACGTCTGCACTCGAGTCCCTGGCTCTGGGTCTGGTTCTTCAAGTTGGCAAAGCTGGTCTGTCCACCGAGGCCAGCTGAGAAGAGAGAGGCCGCCCTCCTTGTGTTCTCGTGACCATCACTGTAGTGCCTGCTGTGCCCCAAGTGGGATATGTGAATTTATCTGGAAACATCAGAGCTCAGGGAGAGTATGCTGTGATGTTGCCTCTAAGTTCGTGGTCGTCAGTGAGGAAGCTGCGCACGTGTCTGTTCTGCAGGCCCCAGCAGGTGGGCCACCACCAGCTCAGCTGATTCTGACCTCAGCATCTTCACAGCAGCTCCATGGGTCGTTAGGCATGACCTGGAGAGCCAAGGCCTCTGTTTTAGTCTTTTAGTTCCCAAGGTTTAGGAGTTGGAGGTTTCTTTGAACATTAGAAAACGTTATTAAGGCTTTCTAAAACCAAAAGAAAAACCATTTTGAATAGATGGAATCTCACAGACTCAAGTATTTTTATCTATATAATAATAATTATTATTATTTTTGAGACTGGGTCTCGCTCTGCCACCCAGACTGGAGTGCACTGGCGAGATCACAGCTCACTGCAGCCTTGAACTAGGCTGAAGCGATCCTCCTCCCTCAGCCTCCTGAGTAGCTGGGACTATAGGCTCATACCTCCACACCTGGCTAATTTTTTATTTTTTGTAGGGATGGGATCACACTATGTTGCCCAGGTTGCTTTTGAACTCCTGAGCTCAAGCAGCCCTCCCACCTTGGCCTGAAAAAGTGCTAGAGTGACAGGTGTGTGCCACCACACCCCAGCACTTGTGTTTTAACCACAGCACCTTGCTGTTTCTGTGGAGCTTCTCAGTCTGCATTGCTTTTTGTGTGGGGTTCAGTGTAACGACCTTTCTGCTTTTGCATGTTTCAAATTATTTGTGATAAAATGTTCAAAAAGCAAAGCAGGACATGTTGCTCTGAGACAAGTGGGCCTTGGGGTGTTTGCCAGACACACTGCAGAGGGGGTGAGTGGCAGCGGCCGGCCCTATGGTGCCACTGGGTGCTGGGCTCTGTAGTGCAGCCCAAGGGGTGGCCAAATGATTCTGGGGCAGTCAGGTGCAGGGCCACTGGGGAGGAGAAGACAAATCCAGGGAGTCTCGCCTGAATGTAGATTCCCCTTTAAGGTTTTTGGAGAAACATGAGTTAAAGATTAGAATTAGTTATTATTTTGCCGTTTTATCTCTATTACCCAACTTAACTTTCTTTTTTTTTTTCCATTAAAAATTTTTTTTTTTAATTTTTTAGAGACAAAGCCTCACTCTGTTGCCAAAGCTAGAGTGCAGTGGCACGATAATGGCCCCTTGCAGGCTCAAACTCCTGGGCTCAGGCGATCTTCCTGCCTCAGCCTCCCAAGTAGGTGAGACCACAGGCATGCGCCAGCCACCATGGGTGGCATTTCTTGTGCCCATTTTCAAATTGGGTTGTTTTCTTATTATCAAATTTTGAGAGATCTTTCTATATTCTGGGCACAAGTCCTGTGTTGGATTTATGGCTTATAAATATTTTGTTTTCTTTTTTTTTTTTTTTTTTAACTTTTAATAGATACTGTTTTGTTCTTGAATAGAGACAGCCTGTGTTCCCAGGCTGATCTCTGACTCTTGACCTGGAGTGATTTGCTTGCCTCAGCCTCCCGAAGTGCTGGGATTATAGGTACGGGCCACTGCGCCTGCCCATAAATATTGTCTTACAGGTCTGTCGCGTTTTTGTCTTTTTGCTTTCTTAACCCTGTCTTTCAGAGAGCAGAAGTTTTAATTTTTTTTTAATGGCCAGTTTACTTGAGATGGAGTCTCACTCTGTTGCCCAGGCTGGAGTGCAGTGCCGCAATCTTGGCTCACTGCAACCTCCGCCTCCCAGGCTCAGGCAATTCTCCTGCCTCAGTCTCCCGAGTAGCTGGGATCACAGGCATGCACCACCACGCCTGGCTAATTTTTTACTTTTTACATTTTTTTTAGTAGAGACAGAATTTTACCATGTTGGCCAGTCTGTTCTTGAACTCCTGACCTCAGGTGATCCACCCGCCCCAGCCTCCCAAAGTGCTGGGATTACAGGTGTGAGCCACTGCGCCTGGCCTAAAAGTTTTAAGTTTTAGGATTCACATATATGCCTATGATTCATTTTTAGTTTTTTTTTTTTTTTTTGAGATGGAGTCTTCTTATTGCCCAGGCTGGAGTGCAATGGTGTGATCTCAGCTCACTGCAACCTCCACCTCCTGGGTTCAAGCAATTCTCGTGCCTCAGCCTCCCAAGTAGCTGGGACTACAGGCGTGCACCACCACACCCAGCTAATATTTATATTTTTAGTAGAGACAGGGTTTCACCATGTTGGACAGGCTGGTCTCAAACTCCTGACCTCAGGTGATCCTCCCGCCTCGGGCTCCCAAAGTGCTAGGATTACAGGCGTGAGCCACCGTGCCCGGCCTTTTGAGTTAATTTTTGTTAAAGTGAGGTGTGCTTTGAGGCTCGTTTTTTTGCATGTGAATGTCCAGTTGTCCCAGCACCATGTGTTGAGAACGCTCTTCTCTGTACATTGACAAATTGCCTTGCATCTTCATCAAAAATCAGGCAACTGTATGGATTATCTCTAATGCTCCAGCTCCGCTCATCTGCGGAATCTGTCATCATCTGTCATCAGTACCACACTGTCTTTCCATGGCTTTATGTTAAATTCTTTTTTTTTTTTGAGACAGAGTCTTGCTCTGTTGTTACTCAGGCTGGAGTAAAATGGTGCCATGCTGGCTCACTGCAGCCTCCACCTCCCAGTTCAAGCAATTCTTGTGCCTCAGCCTCCTGAGTAGCTGGGATTACAGGCGTGCACCACCACGCCCATCTGAGTTTTGTATTTTTAGTAGAGATGGAGTTTCACTGTGTTGGCCAGGCTGGTTTGAACTCCTGGCCTCAAGTGATCCACCTGCCTCGGCCTCCCAAAGTGCTGGGATTGCAGGTGTGAGCCACTATGCCTGGATGCTTTATAGTAAGTTCTGGAGTCAGGTAATGTGAGTTTTCCATCTTTGGTCTTTTTTGATCATGTTTTGGCTATTTTAGTTCCTTTGTTTTTCCCTGTAAATGTTAGAGTCCTCTTGTTGATAATATTCAGTCTTCCAATCCATGAAAACAGCACGTTTCTACATTGATTTAGGTCTTCTTCGATTTTGTTCACCAGTATTTTGTAATTCTCAGCATGTAGAGTCTGTATATTCTGGTATTTTGTTAGATTTTTAAAAGCTATTTTGTTTTTACTGCCATGGTAATGGTACAGTTCTGTTCGTTTCAATTTCTAAGTGTTCATTGTTAGTGTATAGAATATACAATTGATTTTTAGATATTACTGTGTATCCTGTGGCTTTGCTTTTTTATAGATTCTTTGGGATTTTCTACATAGAGCATCATGTCTTCATATAGGCAGTTTTCTTTTATTTGTAAATCTAGATGACCTTTTTTTTTTTCTTGACTCACTGCATTGGTGAAGTCTCTAGTGTGCTGCTGAGTGAGCGGAAGTCGTGAGAGCAGCCACTCCTGCTTCGTTCCCATAAGGGGAACGTACTGCCTTTTACCATTAAGAATGCTGGGGGCTGGGCACAGTGGCTCATGCCTGTAATCTCAGCACTTTGGGAGGCTGAGGCAGGCAGATCATTCAATCACCTTGAGTTCAGGAATTCAAAACCAGCCTGGACAACCTGGTGAAACCCCATCTCTACAAAAACTACAAAAATTAGCTGGGTGTGGTGGTGCATACCTGTAGTCCCAGCTACTCTGCAGGCTGAGGCAGGAAGATCACTGGAGCCTGGGAGGCAGAGGTTGCAGTGAGCCAAGATCATGCCACTGCACTCCAGCCTGGGCGACAGAACTAGACTCTGTCTCAATAATAATAATAATAACAACAACAATAATGCTCTTTGCTAATCTCCCGGACAGCTTGTTGCAGTTTCTCCATCAGCAGTTTCTGCTACGCCGCAGGATTTTTGTTGTGGAGAAGACTTCTTTCCTTAACCCTCAGGAACCAACTTCTGCCAGCTTCCAGCTTTTCTTTTCCAGTTTCCTTACTGCTCTCAGCCTTCACAGAGTTGAAGAGAGTTGCTCTGGATTAAGCTTTGGCTTAAGGGAATGTTTGGCTGGTCTGATTTTCTATGCAGACCAGACTTTCTCAATGTCAGCAGTAAGGCTGTTTTGTTTTCTTATCATTCGTGTGTTCACTGGAGTAACACTTAATTTCCTTCAAGAGCTTTTCCTCTGTATTCATGACATGACTGGCTAGCACAAGAGGTCTGGCCTTTAGCCTGTTTCAGCTTTTGACATGCCTTCTCACTAAGCTTAATCAATTCTGGCCTTTGATTTAAAGTGAGAGATGTGGGGCTCTTCCTCTCACATGAACACATGGGGCGATTGTAGGGTTTTAATTGGACTAATTTCAACATTGTTGTGTTTCAGGGAGCAGG